TCCTTCAGCGCAGCTACCAGTAATAATGCGGAGTTCCAGGGCTTCCAAGGTTGATTTCTTACAGTCGTCTGCCCTATCTCTTTGTTTCTTTATTCGAGGTTAGTTCTAGGTATACATCGCTGGTTCTCTCCTTCGCTGCACTTGTCAAACAGGGGAATGGAGGGATATTGACCTGGAGATGTTTTACTCTTTCAGGCAGTAGCCTGTGTTATTTGGCTCACTTGAGAGATATACTAGCCCAAGAACAAGAGATTAAAATAGTATAATATCGAAATATTCTAGACTATTATTCACACATACCTCTACTTTTCTATTACCGCATAGTCACAAGCTCCTCAGCGCTAGTAGGGGTGGATAGCAATACAGCTATCAAAGTCCTGCTTAGTAGCACCCATCTTAATAGCAACGCCGAAGCCCTGAAGCATCTCCCCGACACCAAGACCAAGGATGTGCAGACCAACAACCTTCTCCTGGGGACCGGCGCAAATGATCTTCATCTCGGTGGGGTTCTTGGCCTTCTCCTGGGGGACAAGCCGACATCGTAGAACATGGCAGTGAACTTGGTGTGGTAGACCTTGATTTTATCGTCGCCGTAGCGCTGGCGGGCCTCAGGCTCGGTGAGACCGACGCAGCCGACCTCCGGGTGCGAGAAGACGACTGTAGGGATGTTTTCGTAGGAGATCTTGGAGTGTTTCAATTCGGGAGGGCCGAAGAGGCGGCTGCCAAGTTGGCGACCGGCAGCAATGGCAACTGCGGGATTGAGTCAGTGTATTTCTTTAAACGGAGAAATGGAGATCGCGACTTACCAGGGGTCAGCTCAGCTTGACCGGTCACGTCACCGAGAGCGTAAACACCCGCAGCCGAGGTGTTCTGGTACTCATCAACCACAACGTGGCCGCCGGCATTCAGCTTGACACCAGGGATATCCAAGTGCAAGTCCTCGATCTCGGGGGCACGGCCCACAGCCCAGAGGAGCTCGTTGACCTCGAGCTCAGTGCCATCATGGCCAATGAGCTTGAGCAGGCGATCCTTGCCCTTGCCATCGCGGATGAGTTGCACCTCCTTGAAACCGCCGTGACCGCGGTGGAGCTTGACACCAGCAGCCGCGTAGCGGTCAGTCATAGTCTTCTGGATCATAGGGTCGAACTTGCGCAGGAAGTTCTCGCCGCGGATGAACATGTGAGTCTCGACATCAACTGCGTTCATGACACCAGCAAGCTCAACGGCGATGTAGCCAGCACCGACAACGGCGATCTTCGGGGGAAGCTCTTCCAACTCGAAGAATCCGTCGCTGGTGATACCATGCTCAGCGCCGGGTACGGAGGGGATGTTGGGCCGGCCACCGGTCGCCAACAGGATGTGGGGTGCTGTGTAGCGAGCGGTACCGGAGCCGTCAGACAGCTTGACCTCAATAGTGTGGGGTTCGACGAAGCCAGCACGACCATGGACTAGGTCGATTCCTTCGCGGCCCCAGTTACGCTCGTAGGCGCCGTTCAACCGCTTGATGACGGCGTCACGGGTGTTCTTGAAGTGGGTGTAGTTCATAGCAACGTTATCGGGGATGTCGTAGCCATAGCTCTTTCCGATGTGGAGCGTCTCGTTGATGGTCGCAAAGTTCCATGTCATCTTCTTAGGGACACATCTAAATGTTGTCAGAAAGAAAGGTCAATCCAGCAATCCAGTATAATAGCATTACGCCTTGTACTCACCCCACGTTGACACAAGTACCGCCAGATCGCCCGCTTTCCACAATCAGGGTCTTCTTGCCATACCAACCCGCTGCGCGGCGGGCGCTTCCACTGCCACCACTACCACCGCCGAGGACGATGTAGTCATACTGCTGTGTTTCGACGGGAGCCATATTGGATGATTGTTGGTTCTTAGAGGCGGCAGACGAAACGTGTCGAGAGATTGTAGAGAGACGAGAATTGGTAGCAATTGGGTCCGCAGGGGTGAAGCGGGGAGAGTTGATGGTCGCCAGAGTTCGATTGGTCAAACGACCAGGACGGATTTGCCCGACGGAAGACGGGGTTAGAGATGAAGAGGCTCGAAAGCTAATCCGGGATGATTGGATGGAGCGGGAGAGCATGGAGAGAGGGAAGAGGGGAAGATGGAGCAATTATGTACAGGCTGAGGTGAGAGGGGTCGGAAAAGACACAACCGCTGTGGTGACGATATCGGGGTTTGTTCATGCGCGTTGGTTCTTCCGTCACCGAGGGCGATTTCTCAGCAGTGATTACGTGATCCGATCTAGATCCTACTGGGCACCTGGGCACCTGGGAGGGAATACTTGATACTTTTGGTTTATTATTGCACGTGAAATCAACATTGTGTTTACTCCGTTAAGATGTAAGATTATGAAATTCATAGGTTATATATGTATGGGTATAAGAGGTTCACAAAAGAGCGACAGGGAGTGACCGGCACTCCAGAATCAATCTCGAGGTAGCAGACAAGGAAATAATGTCGATCAGACAACTCATAACTTAAGAGCCAGGGTTGAAGCACCGGAATAAGCCAATACTTGATCGAAGCCAACGAAGGCCAATGATTGTTGAAAGATGTTTCAGATAGAAAAGGGCCGCGGCCCTATCTGAATATGTCGGAGTATAATAGTAACAGGGAAGAGGGTATCAAAATGTGATGAACGCAAAGGAAGAGGTCATCGAGTCCAGGCGTATATCTTGGCTCCATGTCACAACATGTAACCGGAGTGAGATAGCCAGTCTCTTGGTCGAAGGACTAGACAGCAGTTGGGAGCGTGGAAGGAAGAAGGATGGCGGTGCCTGAATGTTTGCGTAGAGAGGTTGAGAAGGTATCTCCCGATGACTTGCAGCCATTCCATCCACATCAGGCCATGCTACCCTGCCGGTCACATTCTGCTTGCGACGGAGGGGCAGTCTTCAGTGTTGAAAATGACGGTATGGTGACCGGTGGAGATTGACTCGTATGTTGTGTTACAAGATGAGACAGCGATGAGAGTTTCGGGAGGAGGCGAGGCACCGTAGACTTCAGAATCCAGGACCACAGCAGGAGATCCTTTCATCTTCGCCTGGGCACTGTTGGGGCAGAACGCTATCGCGGGCAGACAACTAGTGGGTATAGGCGATAACGGCAAAAGAGATGAGGCAGAAGCAGAGAGGAATGTAGACAGAGCGTTCCATATCGGCGGGTGCTGAGGAGTTGCGTTTCATGGTTTTCAAAGACGTACAATACCACAGTAATGTGGTGATGTGTCTAGAGATCTGAAAGTGAGGGGGGTCTGTATGAGAGAGACCGGGCGGTGTGTTTATCCATGAATCTTATCCGCTTAGGTAACCGCGTTGGGGCGCCTCAACAAAACATCACCTGACTCAACATTGGAAGGCATTTGGGCAGTCAACAAATAGAAAGGGAGCCCACAGTCCACTACGGAGAGTACTGGCACGCTGGACAGGCAACCATATTCGAACATTAAGCCTCGTGGGCTCTGGTTTTTGAACATCAAACCCCCGTGGGCTTTGGTTGGCAAGTGAGAACATCCAAGTATTACACGTGGCACCTGCATAAGCCTCGGCAGTTTCCGATTATAAAGTGGACTGGACAAGTGTTTGGGCTTTTCCAAGGTTGATGCGATACTGTTATCGGATCCATCTAAATATAGCCCTAATCTGTTGCAATATACGGAGTATGTAATGAGCATCATACACCTGGGCAGGACAACCTCTCATCCAGGTCCCAAAGTCTCATCCCTTGACAGTACCCATTTACCAAGGGTCGCATAATGCGCTCATATAGAGACACAGCGATCTCTACAGCAATGATCTACATTACTGCTTCCCCCCTAGCCATACTTCAACGCTTACTAGTACAACATAAAGAGCAGCCCCTGTCCAGCATAAACCGCAACACTCCCGAAACCTCCATATTCACAGGGGATGAAGAATGCAAGGAGATACCAGCCATGCCTCCCATCCACCAATGAAAGCAACTATGAGCAGCCTTCATACCTGCGCAGCTAGTCAAGCAAAACACAACCTAGGAACCCGCCTTGCTGGCCAATGGAGCAAGGCATCTGGCCGCTCGAGTTCTCCTTCGTAGTCCTAATTCATTAGACAAAAATTTTGCCCTAGAAAAATATTCTTCCCTGGGGTATACATGAGCCGATCTTCCTAAACACGTTCCCATCACCTCGATATCACGCCAACCGATCTTCCACCAGCTACCATACCATCGCCGCCATAATGCGTGTTTCAGCTCTCGCCTTCGCTGCCGTTCTGTCCCTGGTCTCGGCCAAAAAGATCAATATGCACTGTAAATTCGCCGAGGATAACACCGGCATGATTCAGCAGCCCTACTGCTGCCGTGATATGGCGCCTGCACAGGGAAACTCGAAGGCAAACGAAGCATTGGACTGTATGTATAGCAATCTTGTGATATTTGACCACTAGGATTTGTCTAACAGGCTACTACTCTAGGTGATCAACTGAAGGTGCCTCAGCTGTGTGAGGATCAGTCTCGGCCAGCTTGCTGCTATACTATTGTGAGTTTTGTTTCAGTCAAAGTTGAATTGGCTAGCGGAGTTTGCTAATCTGATTTCTTCTACTTTTCCCAGGGCCCGAAGAAGATCTGTACCGGCCATGTGATCTTCCAGGATGCAGCAGATGTTTAGACTGGAGAAGGGTACGAAGACAGTTGGACACAAACAACCCGCGTTATGACTTGCCGGGATGAGAAACTAGCTCATCCTTGACGTTTTGATGTCAATAATTTCAACCGAATAGGCATCGAACATATATCACACCTCGCTTCTGGTGTTTATATAAATGACGGACGTACTGCCCAGGATGATGTGTTAAGACTAATCTTTAGAAGGCTGGGCCTAGGAGATGACAGCATAGGTAAACCGCTCAAAGCCGTATGAACAGTTGCACGAATCAAGCAGTACTAGAAGAAAGACCATCAAACTCCATATCCTCAGCGCCGAAAGATGCTATATAGCTATGATAAATGCAGCCACTTCAATCGGAGTCTACCCCAAGCATCTCCTCGGTGTTCCTGCGGAACAGACGCTCCGCTAGCCCCGGCTTGGTCGCGCATAATTCCAAGCAACATTCGGTGAATGGACTAATATCAACGCTAGAGAATCGAGTGTGCGGCCAATCAGTGGCATAGATGACCTTATTAGGTGCAACAGACAAGAACTCGCGTGCCATAGCCTGAAGATCACGCATTTGGTCGTCTTTGCTGAGTCGATACGGCGCAGACATCTTAACATATGTCCTCCCTGCGCGAAGCAGGGAGATCAAGGACGAGAACCCTTGAAGATTGTAGGGATTGAAAGTCGCACCATGATCTTCCCACGACGTCAGATCGGGGCTGCCAAAATGGTCGATACAAATCCGCACGCCTAGTCGCGGCAGGATCGACTCTACCATCGGGACCATATCGAGGGAAGATATATCTCGATGACCCAGTTGCGAGGCCGGGCAAGCTCAGCATGCTGGAGTAAGGTCTCTTCCAACTCGAACTTATCCATCACTTTCCCTACAGATTGAAGGTTGATCCTCAGTCCACGGACTCCAAGGGTATGCCATTCGCTTAGAGTCTCCGGCTTGACGGTGGCAGGGTCAACCACCACAACTCCTCGGCCGCGTGAGGGACCAAGTCTTCGCAAGGCATCTAATAAACATGAATTGTCCGTTCCGTAAACTGACGGTTGCACAAAGACGAGGTTCTCAACGCCCAGGTCCGACTCAAAGGCGAGAGCTTCGGGTAACGTATGCGGGGTGGGTTTATATACCGCTGTTGGAGAGACAGGAAACCGATCAGGTTCCACAACGTGCATGTGACTATCCCAGGACTTTGGAGGGAGTCTCTGCTTCAGCGATACACTTGTGGACGAGCCATGTGTTGAACGCCGTTGCTCCACGCGGGTGGAAATGATATCAAGCGATATCAAGGGAGGCCCGCGGAGTATATTGGGTTTGGCCTGAGCAGCGGTCAGCATCCCGAACGGGTCGTAAACAAAGGGAGATAGCGGCGGGTTTCCAATAGTAAACAGGTAGGCACAGGTACAGAAGAAAAAAAGCGAAAGTAAAGTCCTGGGGAGATACTCACAGGAGAGCAGCTCCAGCAAGGCGATCTCACCCTAAGGCAGGACGTAAGAAGTACCATGCCGGTTTCACCGTTCAACATCCGTGGATGTTGATCCAAGTGCCTTCAATACAGGAGCTTTCAATAAAAAGCACCCATTGTGTCCCAAGAGCACAATTTGTATCGAATACGATGTGCAGGCCTTGTACGACCCACTCCACAACGCGCACATGCTTGTGGCCAGGTGCTGGAAAATTTTGAGCTCGGAAGTTGTCCGTTCAGGAGGACTTTCCAGTCCCTCAGCCGCCGCCTGGGCCTGTTAAATGAGCTGAAGAGCCGTCAAGCGGAGCCAAAAAGTGGATAGCTGCGGCGCGATCCGACATTAAAGTATGGAGTCACTTGGAGGTCATTGTAATACGAGAAAGCAGTAAAGCAATATGCAGAATCGTTCAGGGATTGCAGCAATTGGTTGTTCAAATCCTAAGACATGGGAAACACAGGACAAGACAGACGGACAAAGCTCGGACGTTGACCGAACTCCTATTTAGCTCGGAAGCCGAACCCCCGGTCTTCCCTCTTTCGTCGAGTCCTTAGAGATCACATTCCATCGGCTTTTATTGCTTATATGCCCCCACAGCCCGCATAACTTTATTAGGGGCCATGCAATGGACCACGTCACGATGGTCGACCAATCCCTATTTCGCCCTAGTGATTGCTGTCATTGCCTGTGGCGGGATTCCCAAAGGTATGAACACCCCCACTATTGGACTAGCTTATCAGACAACGATCGGCGGTAATATATGTTGTACAATATACAAGCAGCCATTTGCTAATTGCGCTTTGTCCTCCACAGGCTATGACGAGGGTGGTTATAGCGCCAGCGTCTCCCTCCCCTCGTTCAAGTCCGACTACAACCTCACTAAACACCGAGGGATCGACGAAACAGAGCTAGCTAATCGACGAGCGAACATCTCCTCCTTCAACGTGCTAGGTGCAGCATTCGGTGCTCTGATAGTCCTCGATCTCAATGATCGACTCGGGCGCCTGGTGGCGTGGCGGCTAGCATGCATCGTGTGGGCAACGGGAACATTGATCCAAGTATTCGCGTCCGGTATATACGGACTGCTCTTGTTTAGTCGCATATGGGCCGGGTTAGGAGCCGGCGGTCTAACAGTGACTGCGCCATTGTATTTGGCCGAAATAGCCCCTGCTAAGACGAGAGGTCTAGTGGTGGGGATATACATGGTGTTCTTACTGGCCTTTCTAGCCATGGGTGAGCTTTGACCCTCTGTACAGCGTACATCGTATACATATTCGGCCCCAAATCTGACTCGCTACGCTTTGTTACAGGGTTCTTTGTCAACTATGGTGCTAGCGTCCACATGGCGACCACGCGAACCCAATACCGCCTAGTTCAGGCTGTGCCACTAATCCCTATGGGTATCGCATATGGTCTGTCCTACCTTTGCCCTGAGACGCCTCGATATCTCGTTTCCAAACAGCATCATCAGGAAGGGCTAAAGGCTCTGGCACGGCTACGTGGCAGGGCTATCGACGACGCCGAAATCACAAAGGAGTTCGCGACTATCGATGCCCGGGAGCGGGAGCGAGCGACAGACCTGGCATCTGTCTCTCATTGGGCTATATTCAAAGAGACACAGACGAACCCGAATTACCGGCAGCGCTTCTGGCTGCTAATTACTATGCAAACTATTGCTCAGTGGACCGGCGGGAACGGCATCACATACTACGTAACGAACATATTCCAGGTACGTCAATTCTAGCAAGTAATCATCAGCTACACCAAGTAACAAAGCACTAACGTATGCGGGACAGTACGCCGGCCTAGCAGGCGACTCCACATCCCTCGTCTCCTCCGGCGCCTACGGGATAGTCAAACTAGTCTTCACGATGGCCTTCACATGGGGTCTGATCGACCTCCTCGGTCGGCGCCGCTGCACGCTCGCTGGACTGAGCCTGCAGCTGTGCGCGCACATCTACATGGGTATATACATGGGCCTACGCCCACGCTCAGCAGACAACAGAGACGCCTCCAATGCAGCTGTTGCCTCGGTCTTCGTCTACGCCATTGGCTGGTCCATCGGCCTTTGCACAGTGCCTTACCTGTACGGCACGGAGATCTTCCCAACGCGCATCCGCAATGTCAGTTACGCGATTAGTATGGCGCTGCACTGGTTCTTCCAGTTTGCTGTTGTGCGAGTTACCCCGAACATGTTTGTATCGCTTGATGTCTGGGGTGCCTATCTTTTCTGGGCGCTTATTTGCTTTTCTGGGCTGGCTATCCTTGGTATTTGGATGCCTGAAACGAAGGGTGTGCCTATTGAGCGGATGGGAGATCTGTTTGACGGGCCGTGGTATCTGCGGTGGCGGGATAAGCCGAGAGAGTGGGATGTTGCTTCGCCGACTGGTATACCGCAGAATATTGCGTCGAAGGATGGTCGTGTCTTGAAGTCTGTTGATTCGGCCTTGTGATGGTCTCTTTTCGCTGTTTCCCTTGCATTCCATTGATATACATATGCTTGTCATTTACTGATACCCCATTTTGTTATTATTTGGCCCATGTGTGACTTGTATAGCGATTCCATCCTTTCATTTACTCGATTCCAAATACCTAGTCTGTTTTGCATATCAACTAAATCTTCTTTCCGCTTCACAGTGTTGTTGAACGAGGGCGAAACAGGTGCGTCGTGGCCAAAATTCCATAGCGAGAAGCCGTAGAGCTGCCTTCTCTTCCTAGTGATTACGAAGCTTGTGATCATTTCGCGTGTCAAGGCTAAATAGCTTTCACAGTTTACTCTAGTGGTTGATAGGGCGCCCCGGATACGGATTTGCCGTTCGAGGACTTCGGACACAAGCCGGTTGATTCAGTTCATGGAAAATCAAAATTTGTTTTGGTTTAAGGTTTGGTGGATTTGAAGAAGTTGCAGAACTTATAAAGAAGGCTCCCTACACGGATGTGCACTTGGGAATACTTGTTGTTATATCATTGGCCACCGAAGTGATATATCTGCCTCAGATCGACCCTAGTTCTGAGGCTGTCTGAGGCTGCTATATTGTATATGTATTTGGGAATCATGGAAAGAAAATCAAGTCGGCGGGCGTGAAGAGAGGGCGAAAATGAGCCCAGCTTCAAGACCAAGTCCGAGTGACACTATACAAGATCATTGAGAAGGCACACCCCAGCCCTGCTCAAAGACAGGCGTCATATTCGTCGTGATCGGCTGCGCATACGAGAATGCCTCATATACCTCAGGCGCGATTTCATAGGATCCGGGGTCGTCCATCGTCATGACGGCATTCGGCATCCCGCCTAGCAAGTGCGTAGGCGGCAGCTGGGGCATTTCGCCCGAGTGCGGAATGTTGAAACCTGGTCCTGGGTGCTGGAACGCATTGTAGGTTCCCATCAGGGGTGGGTTTTCCGGGCTGGTGGTGTGGACTTGCGTGGCTATCGATGTTTGCGGTTGGTGGTGATGCTGGCCTGGAGAGACGTGGCGGGATGGGTTGCTGCCTGCTGACGGGGACTGGCTGTGCTGAGGGTGGTGGGGATGAGGGTGATGCTGAGGTGAGGATTGATGATGCTGGGGTTGTTCCTGTTCAGTTTCAGGAATTGGAGCGGGGGCTGCTCCGTGTATGTTGATTTGGAGTCTTTGGAGCTCCAGGGATATGAGACCAAGCGCTGTTGTGATAACTGGGTTGGCGGCTTTGACTCTCTCAAGAGCGAAAATGCAGAACTTCAGTTTGTCTAGTGTTCCCGGTGCGGCGTACTTCAGGGCTCGGATCTCGAGTAAGAAAATCGATGCTGCTGTGTAGATGCTGTATGCGAGAGAGAGAACGACGTGGCTGTCACCGAATGTACGGCGGTATAGATCGAAGAGAGACAGGATTGATGTTGCTGATGCCATGCACTGTACAAGATGGTTGGAATCATGTGCCTCGGGGCGGGCTTTGAACAGCCCCCGAGAGCAGAGAATTGGTCGATGGAGAAGGATGTTGATAGTGTGATATAAACAGCTAGAAAAAAAAGTTGAGTTAGCACTGCGTTCCAATCTACGCAGGATTGAGCACATACTTCAAAATCACGATATGGCTCGGTGGTGAGTACGGAGGAAGGTCTACCGCTGCCATTTTCAAGTAGTCCGGTAGCTCATCCCACCAGTCACCCAGATTCTTGGCCTGCTCTTGAACACAATCAAAGAACTCCGAGTCCGTGCTTCGGCGGATTGGGTCATATATGTGGATCAGAATCTGGTTTAAGATTTCCGCCAGACCGCACATCTTCATGAAACATGAAGTTGAATGCGCCTGCGTCGGCGGATAGTGAGCACCGTCAGTGAAGCTCACCCCATGAGGTGTCCATATTTCGATCTCAGCAGTATCATCGAGAATCATGCGTGGCGGGCTAACGTGAGAGTGCTGCATTGTCGGCGCCCGGCCGAAGTACAATGAAACCACCTTATCCCAGAAATAGCAACTCCAAAATAGACGGTTCCGTATTTCAATATCCTCATCACTCAGATGAGCGGATCCTGAATATTTCCGGCTGTCGATGGAGATACCCAAATCGTCCAGCAGCCGGAAGGCCATGCCACTATATAGCCAAGCTTGCGTCCGATTTCCACGGCCGCATTCCTGGGCACTGAGAAGAAGTAATGTCTGAATTGTGGGAATGCCTGCATAACCAACTTTCAGGGAGTCGAACACCCCAGTCAATGCGCGATGGGAGAATTGTGCACCGCCGTCATAGGAGTCCAGAAGCGGACCAACCTGAGGCTCCGCTTTGCACCACCGTACTGAGTGGGAGAGAATGGCATTTAATAAGACATCCGAATAATAAGCCCCGTTGATTTTCATGTCACCTATCGGGGAAAGTTAGCGTCATATGTCGTCTGAAATGGCAAGGTCGAACAGACGTGTAAATGCAGGACGGTAGACGAAATTCCACAGCGGCTGAATCCAGCACCAATGCGAGTCGAGGAGATACTGGAAAGGCTCCTGCAGGAGTGGTATCAGCATACGCATTCCTCAAACAATCCAAATCCACCTTGACCCATACCGGCATAGCAGCCATTTGCTCGAATGCCCTTTCCCTCCATGCGTTATTAACAAGCCGCTCTTTGCGACCCTCCAATTCCTGCGCGTATTCCGAAGTGGTCGCCGTTTCACTCAACACCCTACTGGGCAGCTGGAACAAACTAGTCGGCCCGTGAAACGACACGCGACCGTCATTTTCCACATTGAGACCATCAAATGCCCGGGTGAGATCTTCAGCATCGGGATCGATCTTTATCTTCGGTCCGCTCGAGCTGGACTCAGCCGATGACGGCGATCTTGTCGTCTTCCGCGCCTCTTCCCCCTCACCGCGCTTGGATAACGCATCCTCCAACTGCGCAACCCTGAGCCTCCAGCTGCTTCGTGTACGATAACGTCGGGGCTCTTTGTGGGGAAAAAAGTAGGTATCAGCGACCGCGAACGAGGAAATAGAATAAAAAGGATCGACTCACAAGCTATACACACACTGCTCGTTGCGCGCGGAGCATCGCGAACACGACGGGCTAGCGCCGTTACATTTAACCTGGCGAGCAGTTAGCTCGGCAATCTCGGGTTTCGTCCGAGGGGATCGGGATCCGCACCTTGCGTTTGCGACAGGCCTCGCATGAGAAGGCGCTCTTCCGGGGGAGACTAGTTTTGGGAGGCTCAGCCATTCCAGAATAAGCTCCCAATTGGAGATATACCCCCAAAAAAGGTCAAAATGAGAAAAGGAGGAAGATTAAAAATAGGAGAGAAGATTTTGGGCCCCAACGTGGGGCGCGGGGGATCAAGTCTCTTTAGAAAATGAGATCGTATTGACGTCGAATCGACTTGAATACTTTCATTGGTGGGAGATTTGGAGATTTGGAGATATCGCCCTGAAGGCCCCACTAGAAGTTATATAGGTTATATAGGATAGGGGGGTGTTCTACTTTGTACACAAGTAGCCAGTATAGCCAGTATAGCCAGTATAGCCAATTAGATATGCTTCAAATGCTATTTGCATGGTATTCAATTGTATACATTCATAGATCCCTTATTTCTTCCCTTTCTTGCTGCCCTTGCCCTTGCCCTTCTTGGGATCCTTAGCAGATTCCGCATCTCCCTTGCCCTTCTTCCACCCGATATTACCATCGTGTCTCATCTGCCTATCATCGAGACGCTTCTTGTCCTTGTTGCTCAGCTTGACATTGCTCTTCTTGGTATTGGGACCGTTCAATTCAACAGCACCCAGCTTGCGAGAAACCTTCTTCTCCTTCTCAGTCTCGAACCACGTTCGCTTCGGCCGCGACATGATCTCGGCACCGTGTTTCATGAGGTTCTCACCCTTGGTGAATTGCATCTCGGCTTGAGATAACTGCTTCTCAGTCTTCTCCTCTTGCAAGATCTCGGCCACCTCGTCAGCCATCTCCTCCGCCTTTTGCGCCCAGCTGTCTGCAACAGCTTGCTCGATCACACGACTGGCGATCTTGGCTCCTTGGGCCTTGCCTGCGCGGACGGCAAGCTTGACGATCTTGCGGTCGGGCTCGGCGGCAATCGTGCACGCACGACCGGAGCGGCCGGCACGGGCTGTACGTCCAACACGATGCAGGTAGATCTCGTGGCTCTGGGGAGCCTCGTAGTTAATGACGGTCTCGACACCCTTGATATCCAGACCACGAGATGCAACGTCGGTGGCGAGAAGGAAGGCAACTTTGCCATCTCGGAAGTTTTCGACGGATTTGATACGCTGTATGGCAAGTTAGCCTTATTCATATATAGAACGCAATTTGTTTAACATACCTGTTCTTGGCTCAGACTACCGTGTAGCTCTGCTGCCTTCAAGCCCAATAGGCTGAAAATGATACGAACGCGGTGAGCTTCCTTCTTCTGTCGGAAGAAGATAATAACGCGCTTTGAGTAGATTTCTTTGCACAGATGCAGAAGGTAACCGAGACGCTTGTCTTCCCGTCCGGGGCGGAGACGCACGAACTCTTGGACGAAGGTAGATACGGTGTTTTTCTTGGAATCGACCATCAAGCGCATTGGGCGGTTCATACCGACACGAATAAGCTTGTCGATCGAGTCTGTCATGGTCGCAGAGAACAGCATAGTCTGGCGAGATTTGGGAATTGTGGTGAGAATCTCGTTCAACTCATCGGCGAAACCGTCCTCAAGCATACGATCGGCCTCATCAAGAACCAGAATCTCCAGGGTGTCGACTGTGAAACTAGGCGAGTTGCGCATGTGGTCGATGAAACGACCGGGGGTGGCAATGATCACATCGGGACGCTTCTTGAGCACATTCTCCTGCTCGCGAAGACTGAAACCACCAACCAATTGACAGAATGTGACGTCTGTGAAGGTGGCCAGTTTGACGGAAACGTTGTAACACTGAACAGCCAACTCACGAGTGGGCATCAGAACCACAACACGACTTGTAGGGACCTTCCGAGGGCGGAAGAGGAGACGCTCGAGGATAGGAACAATGAAGGCAGCGGTCTTTCCTGAACCAGTCACGGCACTACCGACGATATCCTTGCCCAGTAGAGCAACGGGAATCGCCTTGCGCTGGATGGGGGTCGGGTCTGTGAATCCAACGGCGGCGAGACCTCGAAGGATGGGGCGGGAAAGATTGAATTCTTGGAAAGTCATCTTGGCCATGTTGGCCTTGGTGTCGACCTTTTCTTCGGGGGGCAAAGAACGCCTTGCGCTTCTCTGCTTCCTCCTCGTCCACCTCGCTCTCTACATCGGACTCCCGGTCTGAGCCTATGTCATCGGGGTGACCAACGGGTGTGGCGACAGAGTCGTTGTCGGATGCAGCGTCGTCGTCGGAATCCTCGTTCTCGTCCTTATCCTCATCGTCCTCCTCGTCTTCATCCCCAGAGCCAGGCTCAGGGCCCTCGGCATCACTCTCTTCCTCGCCGTACGCGCCCATTCCGAAGGCGTCATCCGCCATGAGCTCATCGTCATCGAAGTCAACGGGCATTTCGTCGCCCGATGCAGCGTCGTCTTCAGATGCGCTGGCGCTCTCTTCCTTCTCGGCAGCCTTCTTCTTCTGCTTCTTAGCAGCAGCCTCATCCTTCTTGGCCTGCCTCCGCTCAATGATATCGTCAATATCGACAGCCTTCTTGTCGCCGGAGCGCTTCTCCTCGTTGTCATCAATGCCCCAGCCATCAAAGCCTTCAGTGACACCATGGTTCGCGACACCGCCGACATCGAACTCGAACTCGGGGTTTAAGACGCCGTCGTCTTCCGTTGCATCAGCTGCAGCATTGTCGTCCTCCTCTTCTTCCGACTCGGGTTCGGGAGCGGGCTCGGCATTCTTCTTGTTCTTCTTGGCGTTCTTCAATTGCTGCTTTTCCTGTTGCTTCTGCTTCTTGTTTTTGGGCTTGACGGATTCGACCTCGCGCTTGCGCTTCTTGTTGTCTGCCGGCGCATTATCATCCTGCATCTCGTTGCCATCGTCTTCTTCCTCGAACCGGGGTTCGTTCTCGTCGTCAGAGAGCGTGAATACGAAATCATCGTCTTTGGCGGAACTCCGCTTCGCCGATTGAGGAGCCATTTTTGAGGCTGGCGCAAATTCCAGTGAATGTATGGTAGCTGGATGTCTTCCACACTCTCTCAAACAGTCTTAGTAAAAAATACCAGGACCCCAAACACTGTGCAAGCAACTCAATCTCGCCGAGAGGAAATGGATCAACATGTAAAAAAAAGTTCCCCGGGCGGTGACAAGAAAATTTCTGATGACATAATCAATCCGCTTCGATCGAGATGCCAACTTTGAAACCTTCCTGGGCTGCTTCGCTGAATATCGCATTATATTTTCAATGCTATCATTAAGAAAGAATTAATATAATCATACATTTTCAATTAACTACCTGCTTAAGTAGGTATTTCTTCCCAGCTCAATATCTCCCGCACGCCCCTTCAATCCTTTTTTTTTTTTTGGTGAGACATCCTGGATATAACATCCTAGACACAGACCATTTGTCTGTCATTAGTCTCATTTTGTTTTCAACTTTTTTTCCTTTTTCCTTTTTCTCCAGACCGTCGTTCCCTCCCTGTTGCCAGATTCTTTGAAGATGATCTCCGTCCGTGTTCTCCATAACGTTCATTGGCAGGCTCATCAGAGGTAGTTGAGTATCGCAGACTTGGTACCACTCCCCTGGGGCTGGGCTTGAGCCTGACGTCGGTTCTTGGGCCCATTGCTCACATGTGCGCCCCCGATTCGACGGGACATGTAACGAAGGTCATAACTAAGAATGTGCGTCAGTAAATATACAGTCCAAGATGAAAGTGAAAAGACAAGACAAGGCATACCTCTTGTCATTCTTCACTCTTGCATTCTCGAATACGCACTGTTCTTTAAAGCCAAAGTCCCTCTCCAACCACTGTTTGATCCAGACATGCTCCTCCCTCGCCTCTGGGGATGTTGCAACGGCGCAGACCATTGCTCTAAGGGGGCGGCCATAGCCCGCGCCATACTGCACTGTACCAGTTTGGTCGAACTCATAACCGTCGCTTCGTCCAGGGGTCGCATCAAAGCAATAGAGGACCATATCAACAAGTGCCCGTCCGATGTGCTGCTTCTTGCTGCCCTCTTGGACGAAGACATGCAGCTCACCAATGTGGTTGTCAGCACTCTTGCCGTGCCGATGGAATTCGACATAGGCATAGCCAACCACGGGGTCGATCTGGTTGCGACACAGGCGCTCTGGCGGACGTCGGGCAGCGACGATGAAGGGGAAGTGGTTCTCTCGGCAATATTGAAGAAGCTCCGCGAAGTCATTCACCTCCATAGCTCGGGTTTCACTGCTCGAAGCTGAGTATTCTGCATACCAGTTCATGATTTCGAGGATAGAAGAAGCATCGCATTCTTCTGCAGGACGCAGATAGATGCCGGGTGGAACAACTTTTGAATCTGGTGGTAATTCTAGCCAAGCACGGTAAGCCGCGGTGCGACGCAGGTGCTCTTGTTCTTCCTGTTCTTTCTTCTTTCGTCTTTTGTTGGTCTTCCCCAGGTTGTAGACGTAGCCTTCCGATGTCTCGTGCCAATGAAGGCGTGTCAGCTCGTCTTTCATGTCCCTAGGAGTGGGAACATGCTTGATGTCAGGGAGGAACATCGCACTCTCTCCATCGGGCATCGCGGTTCCGTCAAAGAAGGCAGCGTGATAAATGTCAACGTGGCGGCCTGCCGGAAGCTGATCCCACCAGCTGCGAAACTGCTCTCTGACAATCTCGTTGGGAAGATCAAACGAAGAAATTCTGTGTTTGAGTTGGTCCCACTGATCATCCTGTTCTTGGATATCCAAAGTCCAGCCATCAAGGAGAGATCGATCAGGCTCATAAGAAATGTCGTTATATTTCGATGTGAATGTGAGGATGCCATTCTGGAAGACTGGGAAGATACGGCGAGATTTTGCGTATGCCTTGGTTTGGATCCTGTGTCGGGCGTCCCGCTTGTTCCGAAATTCCGCACTGTTGGACCATTTGAACTTCTTTTCGATTTCTTCATACTCATCGTCAGGAATGAAGTCGGGTGGATCAGCTGTTGCCCATGGCTCAGGTTCCTCAATGCCTTCGGCAGTCCTGGGCTTTGCGAGCAACTTATAGACACTGCTGCTCCGATCGACGCCAGGTCCATCCCTCGCTGCGGGAAGCATCTCAGGGCAAGAGTGACTCTCGTTTTCCATGCCGAACAGAGGCTGTTGCACGGGCTTGTTCTTTCTTCTCTGTTTGTCAAACTGTTTGGTCAAGTCCCAAGTTTGTGCCCAGCTCAGATTCTCTATGCTCTGTATGAGCTTGTTTCTTCCCATCTCGTCCATGGATTCGAAGGCCTGAAGCATGGCTGCACTAGAGTCGTTCGGGAACACTGTCGATTTTGGCTTGTTGAAATTCTTGGGCGGCTTTCGATTGACAGTATTTCTACCGCGGAATAGCGCAGGCTTTTCGACTTCTTCTGCCATCTTAATATGACTTGGGTCACGCAGGATTGAATTGGAGTTTCTGGTATGTATTTTCAGGTCAGTCAGAATCCTCGAACATCACTGTCGCGGTGTTTCTTTGGTCTAGTCTAGGTCATTCTCTCGCTTTTATTCACCGCCATGTGACATCGGTGAACGGGGAAGCAGTCGCAAAGCTCCATGAACCCGCTTGGGGTAGGGCTTGCAACTGTGCCTGTCCTGCAAGTGTATCACTTGGCGGGTGGCTCTGTGTTTGTTGCTCAAAGGGTGTGACGAAAAATATTTGGTAACAAGCGTACCTGAATGATTGGATGCGTAACAGTCAGTTCGCTGATGAGACTTGACTGTAGACGCGTCCCGTGTTGCGAATAGCGGACTGAGAAAATAAATGATCGAAGTGATCAAAAGTGCGAGAGACAAAGTTAGGAGAGGATGAGAGCGGAAAAGGCGACGAGGGAGAGATGGGGGAAGAAGGAGACAGGATTATAAAGGTTAGGGGACTGGGAAACCTCGAACGGTTCTCGAAGTCGAACATCAACCCCCTCACCACTTCCTACTATCCGATTGTAGTCTTGTGTTTCCCTCCTATCTAAACAATCGGGTTAAAAAAAATCCATTCAAGTACTGTTTTGCAATTGCGCAACCTGGATACTGGATATCTGGATATGTAGGCATATACCTATGTAGGAAAGTCAAGATGAAGTCGATACCAATGATATACAGTCTCGACGTGACAGCATGATATCTGGTCTTTTGTTTGCCGTACTGATATATATACGCATACACATTCTGAAGGGTTGTATGGATTTGGATAAAATGATCTAAAACATTGAATTCCGGGATGGCCTTGTTACTAGCTGATGCTGTGGCCTGGCGTCCGATATAGTACCTATTGAAAAACTAAACCATCAATATATAGGCGAAAATACACCAGCCTGACATTCAGATAGCCACATTGGAATATAGAGTAACGTGGAAGTAACGGGAAGGAATATAATATCGGCCGATCCATAGACACATCAGACCCCGTCTTGAGCCTGGCAGCACTTTTCCCTTTCCAACTCTCTCCCGAAAAAAGCACCAAGCAGGATATTTTTGCAACCATGCTGTCCATACTTCGAAAAGCCCGCTTAAAGGACAAAGAAATGCGTATATTGATGCTGTATGGGCTCTGGCCAGTCGTTCAGATCGGGAGGCTGATGATTGCAGGGGTCTTGATAATGCCGGCAAGACGACCATCGTCAAGCGAATTATGAAGGAGGATGTCACGACAGTCAGCCCGACTCTAGGATTTATCATCAAGACAATTGACTTTATGGGGTAATTTCCCACCTTGTTAATATCTCGAGCTCTGCTAACTCGGCGCAGATACAAACTCAACATCTGTGAGCCAATCCGGGTCTCTCTGGGGAACCGTACTGACAGTACTAGGGGATGTTGGCGGACAAAAAACACTCCGATCCTGACTGGAAAAACTACTTTGAAAAGACCGACACGCTAGTCTGGGTTGTCGATGCCACAGATCGACTCCGGGTTGACGATTGTCGACAGGAGCTCTCGGGTCTGCTTCTTGAAGAGGTACGGATGACGTCCCCACCCGCAATGCGCAAATCTTGAACATGTCAACTGAACCCATTCCAGCGCCTTACAGGAGCCAGTCTGCTGGTATTTTTGAATAAGACAGATGTGGAACATTGCATGAGCGAGCAGGAGGTTCGAGAAGTAGGTCCAGGTTCTCCCTTTAGAGTTCGGGTGAGGCCGTTTGCCGGACTTGGCTGATATTTCTGCAGCGTCTTGACCTGGATTCAATCAAAACACACAAGTGGACTATCTTGCCATGCAGTGCAATGACGGGCAAAAATCTGAATGAAGGTCTGGAATGGGTGGTACAAGACGCCAAGGACCGACTGTTCCTTTACTAGAGAGATCGGGGGAAGTCGGCCTATATTTTCTCTTCCAAGGTTGATATCCACGCTTACAAGCTATTTAATATGTTACATAGGTTATTAAATCTCAGATCTATTCATATATCTGTACTATCTGTACTCCGTATTTGTCTCACCCGTTATATAACTAACGTGTGGCCATATTCTAAAAGTCAAGAGTAGTGATGCATTTCATGCCTACCCTTTATAATACTGCTTGCATGTTCTAAAGGCCTAGTAAATGTAGTAAATGTTCCCAAAAAAAAGGGAACCAGGTCATATCCGATAGGCATATATAGTCAAGAATAGAAACCAGAAGCTTACAGAGAATTAAAGTGTTTCATTCTCCGTACTGAGTACAACCTAGCATATGCAAGGCACAACCTGATATATCTAACTAAAATAGTTCACATATGATCCAACTATGAGTTCACCGGCTTTTAACCCCTGAAAATAAGAAAAACCAAGAAAAACCCCCAGGAGAACCGAACAAAAAAAAACCCAGCAGAACCAGAAAGAAACAACACAAAAGCCATGGAACGAGGAAAAACTGCGGGGCCTCCTCCACATAAATAAATGGGAGTAAACAACTGACTGATTCCAGTTTGGTCTGTATAAATGCATCTATCCATGATATTGTAGAGAAAACCAAAAAACGTATTATATGAAAAAGCAGCATAAATTGAATTCAAAAGATCTTTAATCTAAGGGAAAAAAAAGATGTGTGAGCCAATGAATGTGTTGATCATCAGTCCCGATTTAATTTAAACAGGGCGGAGAACACAGCCCTTCTTCCACTCTCCAACTCTTTCCTCATTTGTTTCATTCTAGGAGGCGTGCATGAACGTCAATCCTAGATCATGACTGTACCTAACGAGAGTTCCGAGGATGTCAATGATTTCCTTCAGCGCATCCGGGAACTAGGTGAGCGCCGCGACAAGGAGGACGACGAGCGCACCAAAAAACTAGAGGAGGAGATCCTGCAGGGCCGGAAGGAAAGGCAAGCCCGGAGAGCTGGTAATACTCCCTCTTCCCCTTGATGCGGCCAATGTCCGCATAATCACAGCATTTGCTGCAGGTCGACAATGTGCTGATATCCCGATGACTCAAAAATAGAACGTGCACGATCACTGGCCCTTACCGACGATTCATCCACCCTCAATGTTGCGCGACTGAGTGCTTCCTCTATTAGTCCCCGGCCCATCGATCCCCCGGAACACCTTGAGCCGACACCGCAAACACCGCAAACGCCAGCACCTGAGCCGACCCTGAGCGCCGTGGAGTCGAGCCAAGACATGGAGGTCTCCAACACCGACAAGCGGCGTGGATCGGTCCCAGATTTCGGAATGGATTCTCCCACGCGGACACGTTCACCCTTGTCCCGCAGCCGCGCGGGGACCTTGTCATGGCAGCAACGCCCCTCGCGTGATTTCGCCGTGTCGCCCGGTTCAACATCCCCAACCCGCTCCCCAACTCGCGCAAGCCACCTGAGAAATTTGTCTACGGCATCGGACGAGAACTCACTATCTCGACTCCAATTTGGGTTCCCACGACCATCGAAGGATGCTCCTGTGCTCCCTCCATCACCGGACCGTGGGGCTGGGTCGTTAGCGCACAGTGCGAAGGAAGAACAGACGGATAGCCAAACAAACGTGGGCGTGGGGCATCAAGAGCCAGAAGTGGGTGAAGAATCAAGTACCGAACTAGATAAACTTGAGGCAGTAGAAGAGAGATCATCGTCGCCTCCGAGAACCGGTTCTCGCGATAGCAACATGAGCCATCGCTTTTCTGTATCGTCGGTTTCGGCTGGGTTGGGGTCGCCAGTGCACCTGTCAGAGACTCCGAAACTCGAGCCTCGACAGAATGATTCCTCCTTCGAGGAAGCTGTGTCGCCGTCTCCAACCCAGCGGCGGATGTCACCAGAGCGAACGCGGTCGACCTCACCCACCAAGGGCCTGGGAGGCTTTGTTCAGAGTGCTATGATGAGAAGATCAGATAGTGTGTCAAAAAGGTGGAGTGCACAAGTTCCGCAGGGGCTCGGGCGGTCAAATTCCATTGTGTCAAATCGCAGCAGTGTGGCAGGTCCGAGTTTGAGTGAAATGACCCCTCCAACTCTTGGGCGAATTGGACGTGAACCTTCAACTCTCCTGCAACGACCAGGCTCCAGCCACAGTGAGGCAGCCACCGCAACAACTGAACGACCAACCACACCTGCGGATAGAGACAGTGTGAATTTTGAAACCAGTCCAGGAAAATCATTCCGAACTGGTCACTCTCGTTCTGCTAGCTCTGCTACCGCAGAAGGCAGCGACGCCCAAGGTCCCTTTGTCTCAAAAACCATGGATCCTAGGCGCTGGAGCCCCAACAAGGCTTCTTGGTTGGAGAGTGCCCTCAACAGACCAGAGCTACCACGACAGACCACCAGACCCCCCTCTCAGCCCAACTGGGCCAAAGACCGGCAGTCGCGAGGTAGCGTGGATTTGGGACGAGTAAACAATTTCAAGGAAGTCACTCCTATCGGTTTGATGCGAACACCCCCACCAGGGACTCAAACGAAACCACCTGGTGTCTCTGGTCCATCGCTTCCTACAAGCCCTATTAAGGATGGTGTTCCTGAGTCTCCATCAGGATTCCCTCTGAAGAAAATTGGTCCCTCTGGTCCATCCCTTCCTACAAGCCCTATTAAGGATGGTGTTCCCGAGTCTCCGTTGGGATTCCCTCTGAAGAAAAGTGGTGTCTCCGGTCCGTCGCTTCCTGCGAGCCCTGCGAAGGAGGCAGTTCCCGAGTCTCCATCTGGATCTGGATTCCCATTCAAAAAGCCAAGCATCTCTAGTTCATCACTTCACAGGAACTCAGTCTCAGATCCTCCTTCGGAGTTCCCTTTGAAGAGGCCTGGTACTGCTGGAGGGTCAGTCAGCGGGAGTCCTGAAGGCAAGCTCAAAGAAACAGTTGCCGAGTCTCCCTCCTCTTTCAAGAAGTCCATCAGCTCGGCTTCATCACTCCACAGGAACTCCGTCTCCGAGCCTCCGGCAGAATCCCCACTCGAGAGGCCCAGTGTCTCTGGTACCTCGGTTTCTGGAAGCCTTGGCAAGGAGACTGTCCCTGAATCTCCATCGGAGTTGTCATTCAAGAAACCGAGTATTTCTAGTCCGTCAGTCCCTGGAAGCCCCGAAGCCAAGTCGAAGGAGATAGTCCCACAATCTCCGTCGGCTCTCGGTAGCCCTGACGTCGGACAAACAAAAGAGGAAACCTCAGCTTCCCCAACGCCTGTCGAGGAAGCTCTCAATGCTCTATCAGGCGGCGCACCGGCGGAGGAACCTAAGTCTGCCTCCCCCGCTGAAATGGAGAATGAATCGCAAAAGCTACCGGCGTCTGGAGAGTCTGAGCCTCAATCTACTCCCACTCGCAGGGCCCCTCCCGACTCGTTGAGCCCCAAACCAAACTTTTCCATCTCTACTTCCTCGCGCGGACCCATTTCACCCAAGGCGAAGCCACAATCTCCTGTGCTGGACTTCCGAGCAAACCTACGGAAACGAGAAGTTGTCAAAGATAACGGAGATACCAAAGAGCCAGAATTCAAGAATGTATTTGGGCGCCTCAAAAAGACCGAAACTCGCAACTATGTTGCCCCTGATGAGCTCAAGGGCAATATACTACGAGGTAAAGCTGCCTTGAACGCCACCGGCGGACCAAAGAAGACAGAGCGGGTCGATGAATTCAGGAAGAGCCTTGTGTCACGCAAAGATGAAATGAAAGCCGGCGGAGGCTCCATCAGACGGAATACCGCCGGGGAGCAGGATGCGCCGCCAAAACCAGCCGAGGTCGTACCAGAAGCAATTGCTATGCGACAAAATATGACCCGGGCAAATAGCATCAAGCAGCCACCTGTGGATGCGCTGGTATCGCCTACTAAAAGCTTTGGTTCTCGAGCCTCGCAGGACAGACCACCATCGTCGTCGTCCCCGAATACATCTTTCAAAGGCATCGTTCCGTCGCGAGCTTCTCAGGAACAACAACCATTGTCGCCATCTCCTGCCATTGATGAGCCGGGCTGGCCCTTGAAAGATTCCAATGCCTCGCGTGCGTCTCAAGAATCACAACCATTGTCACCGTTCCCTGCCGATGATCCGATTGATGAGCCAGAGGGAGCAATTCCGGCGGCGACCGACTACAAGCAAACACCGGAGGCGATATCTTCAACAAACCAGGAAGAAACGCGCGAAGTTGTGGCACCAGTCGGGCCCAGCATAGTGAAGATGCAGGAGCCTTCAGTCAAGACACTCCGGCCAGTTCGTCAATGGCCACCGGCGCCTGTCGAGGAGGCTACTGTGACTCCAAGTCCGGCAGCTAAAAGCAAATTGGCGGGCCGAATCAACCCTGCGCTAGCTGGCCTTCTTTCTCGTGGCGCGCCCGCCGCTGACGGACCGAAGAAGCAGCTGCCAACCCCTGTCTCAGCACAGAGTGACCCTGCTTCGCCATCTGCGCCTCTCACCCACATGACAAAGGGTCGTGCTAGAGGCCCGAAGAGACGACTTCCCCAGACAACTGATGCCTCGACGCCGTCCGCTCGGGATGATACTAAGGAGGTTGGTGCTATTTCATGCTCTGAAGCCACCCCGTCACAGACTCCTACAATCCCTGTTGAATCCCTGGACATTGATTCAGAGCACATGTCGCAGCCTGATGAAAACCCTGTTCCTGACATCACGAACTCCCGTTCAGACAGCACAGTCACCGAGCAACTTCCGGAAGTAAACACTCCTCTCCAGGATACCCTTGAACGCGATACGCCCGAAAGCGCATTCCCGCAGGCACTTCAGACACGTTCTCTAACATCGGATTTCGACATTTTTCCCTCCGCCGATCTTGAGGCGACGCCCAGGGAGCCCGAAAGCCCTGGAGAGGTGAGTAGTCCATCAGGCGGACCGCCTGTCCCGCCGAAGTCCGATTCTCCCTCATCCCCCTTGCCTGCAACGCCAAAACCACAATGGGGCCAGCAAAACCGGTTTGCCTCCTCATCGCCGTCCCCTCTCCGAACCAGTCACAATGAGAATCAAATGGATTCACCTATGAGTCAGGAGAAGAGCATCCCCGGTGTTATCGTCGAGTCAGCACGCAGTTCCGTCTCACGACCCATGAGCCATCCGTCCCCGCCAGTACCCCCCAAAGACGGCGATGTTATGCTCCACAAGCCAACCGATCCGCGCAGACTTTCAAGAAAGATGTCCGCTCCCTCACTGGTTGCGCAAGCCAGTGAGGCACGTGAGGTAATTGCGGGCTTCTTCAAGACATTCCCCCACGCTCGAAACCGGATGGACATTGATCCGCAGCTAATGCTGATGCGTAAACCGGACGATATAAAGATCAGGACCATGAAGCTACAGATCTGGGAGCTCACAGGTGATGGGAGGCGTCAAGAACTTCCTTCCCACCAGGAGTACATCCTATACCAAGGTAGCATGTATCTCTGCGTGCACACATTCGAGACCGGACGAAGTAGCACTTCGGAAGTATACCTTTGGCGTGGAGACGACGTCCCGGAATCCTCGGTGGAGAATGAACAACCCTTCGCACGCAAGATCGCTCGTGATAATAGCTCCAAGTTGCAAGTCATTCGGCAGGGCAATGAACCTACCCGGTTCATCCAAGCGCTTGGCGGCATCATGATCACGCGTCGGGGATCCAGCTCTCGCCACAATTCGTCGGCTCTCTACATGCTTTGTGGCCGGAAACACTTGGGCGAAATGACCTTCGATGAAGTGGATTACTCACTGCGCAATCTCTGCTCCGGGTTCCCTTACGTTGTCTCTGCTCCCTTTGGCAAGCTCTACCTATGGAAGGGCAAAGGTAGTGGCCCTGAAGAAACCGGCGCAGCCCGACTTATCGGCATGGACCTAGGCCTGACTGGAGAGTTTGAAGAAGTCAACGAGGGTGAAGAACCCGAGGATTTCTTCGATGTGTTCGCAGGCCCCAGGGAGGCTGCGCCGCACATGTGCCAAGATCACTGGCAGCTCAAGCCGAAGTACAACCACTACCGCACGCGACTCCTCCGGGTCGACCACGAAATGAACCCGCCAACTCGTTTCTGGAATATCCGCCGGCCGGGCTCAAGTTCACCAGTGGTCAAGGCCAACGATTGCGTTCAAGAAATCGAGCCATTCTGCTACCGAGACATCACCGAGAAAGACGTTTACGTTCTGGACACCTTCTTTGAGATCTACGTGTAAGTACTACCGTATCAAGATGCCCTCCAATCAACTGGTACTGATCCCTCCTACAGTATTATCGGCGAGCAAGCCTCACAGAAGTCTGCCGATTTCGCCTCGGCAGTGGTCTTCGCGCACGAGTATGGTATCCTTGCCACATCCCTCCAGGACCGACCATTCATCCCCAAAAGTTTCGTGGCCCTCGGTGGTGTCCCCGACCGCTGCCAAAGCGCATTCCGTAAATGGAACCCACGCACCCAGCATGCGCCTTTCGTGTTCTCTCTTGATGTTGTCATCGAGGCGATTCGATCACCAGAGAATTGAGTGAGATCTTGTGTTTGTTTTTATTTTTTCTGATTCCTTTTTGCGGGCTTCTGCTTTAACTTCGTGCATATTTTTGTCGGGCTCCACAGAGCATTTCGGGAGTCCTGTGTACTTGTGCCATATTTGCGCCATAGAGTGAACTGGAGCATCTGGGGAATTGGGGGATGTAGATAGGTGGTTTTCGCATTTGAGGGTGTATTTAGGCAATGATTTTCTAAGAATTCAAGTTTCATACCAATACCTATTTGATATATTTCTTATTCAAATTAAGCATTAGCATTCGGATATTTAAGGCATTTAGGGTAGTATAAGGACGGGAACGGAGAACGGAGCGACGGAGATTTAAAAAAAAATGGAAAATCATCCGATCTGGGATGTCGCCATCCTCAATCTCTTTGGGCATTTGTAAATTTCTCCTTTCCATTCATTCTACTCTCCCCCAATGGCAATGTGAATATTTGAGTCATGGACCCCTCCATCCTTCGTGAGCTCTCGAAGCTCGACCCCGCGGTACCGTTCCGCTCATCGACCGATCATTTACATCACACATGGGCCAAGACATTCTTCTCGCGCCCGGAATTGTACATTCGCCCACAGACCATTCCAGAGATCCAACAGCTGGTGACTCTCGCCCGTCGCTGTCGTCGCAGAATCGTAACGGTCGGCAGTGGCCACTCGCCCTCCGATTTAACCTGCACCTCGTCCTGGCTTGTTAACCTCGACGACTTCAATCGCATCCTCCACGTTGACCCTTCCACCGGCTCGGTAACCGTCGAAGCGGGTATTCGATTGAGCGACCTGGGAACACAATTGGAAAAACATGGCCTGACACTCGAGAACCTGGGCAGCATCGACAGTCAGTCGATAGCGGGCGTCATCGCCACCGGCACCCACGGCAGCTCTCTACGCCACGGCCTGGTGTCAGAATGCATCGACTCACTCGGCTTGGTTCTTGCCAATGGGCAGTTAGTCCGCTGCAGCCCGACAAACAACCCGGACCTGTTCCGCGCGGGACTGGTGTCGCTCGGAGCGCTCGGAATCGTCGTGGAGGTCACCTTCAAGGCGACGCGCACGTTCAATATCGCCTGGCGCCAGGAGCGGTATTCGCTATCTCGCGTGCTGGACGAATGGTCGACGGGTTTATGGACAACACATGAGTTCGTGCGCGTTTGGTGGCTGCCTTATGAGAAAAGCGCTATTGTCTGGCGTGCTGATAAAACCGACCTCCCCCTGCGCGCTCCCCCGAAAGGCTTCTACGGCGAATCGCTAGGCTACCACATCTACCATAACCTGCTCGCTCTGTCCACGTACGTCCCGCGCATCCTGCCGTGGGTCGAATGGTTTGTCTTTGGTATGCAGTACGGCTTCCGGGCTGGATCGATCGTCACCGAGGCCGTTGAGCCCGCGCGCGAGGGATTGTTGATGAACTGCCTCTATTCGCAGTTCGTAAACGAATGGGCTCTCCCGCTGGAAAAGGGCCCCGAGGCCATCGGTCGGCTTTCCGCCTGGCTGAACGGCGACACGGAGACTGCCCGCATCCCCTTCTCATCCAAGGGACTGTACGTGCACTGTCCGGTCGAAGTGCGAGTCTCGGATACCTCGCTGAACACCAAGCCCCGTCCATTCCTGGACCCGACGTGTCGCGACGGCCCGACGCTCTACCTCAACGCAACGCTTTATCGCCCATACCTCCGCGACCCGCCCTGCAAAGAACGCTACTACGAAGCCTTCGAATGGCTGATGCGGGAGATGGGCGCGAAGCCGCACTGGGCCAAGAATTTCCGCACGCTAAACCCACAAGAGATGGGCGCCGCATATGGGTCAGACATGGACTCGTGGATGAAAGTGCGCTCAGAGGTCGACGCGGACGGGATGTTCGTGGGCGAATGGCATCGGCGCCACCTACCCTTGGAGCTCGGGCAGGGAAGCGAAGCCCCTGAGGGGCAGAGACTGCCCCTCCTGGAGCGCGAGCGCGAATGTCGCAGGGTGGACATGAGTGGCGTCGGCGATGGCGTCGAATGGGTAGGGGATCGCCGATGGCAGTTTCAGACTCAGCAACAACCCCTTGGTGCGCTGGACATGGAGAAGAGCATGTATCCATTACCGCCAGACCACTCGTCTAGTCCGTCTGGTACGGCGACCAGCGAGGAGAGCTTTGATTTGCTTGCCAGGGGTGAAGCGAGCATCTTGCTCCCCGATGGACCGGGGGTGTGAGAGGAGAGAAATCAGGCTCCCGTCGAAGGCAAACGATCTCTTGTTTCTCGGGGGTTGCCAGAGTCCTGATTGTTCCGTTGCTTTTGCATCTGCTGATCTGCGACTTGTTCTGAATGGTCCGTTCCAGGGCTGTGTTGGTGCTCATTGGCTCTAAGAGCTATTTTGGGTGATTTCCCGCGTCGTTTTCGTCGCTTGCTTTCTTTCTTTCTTTTTTTTTCGGGTTTTCCCTTTTTTTGTTCCAACCTTGGAAGCAATTTAGGGTTGATTGAGATTGTTGATTACAATTCCAAGGTTGGGTTGGCAAATCTGACATCCGAGGATGTTCAGGCTTCAATTCTTGACGCCAACTGTTCTCCAAAAGAAAACGAGGGCTTTTAGATCTCCTTCCTATATGGAGTATATCCCTCTGATATTACATATTGCATTTTCCCCTGCTTTTACCCTTGTTTTGCTTTTTCCATCCCCCATTTTCCATTTGCCAAGGCCGAGGGAGAGAAATCTTATGGCCTCGTGGTCTCTACGCACTGGAAATTGGAATCTGTCGGTGAACGAGTGCACTCGGACTCTGCATGTTTGATGCAGGTGCTCATACCAAGCCCGCTCCATAGGGCGAGCTTTGTCTGTCTGCTTTTTTGCTTTTGAAAATATGCATACAACAATCAATAGTCGATAGTCCATTCCATTCTTGTACACATGGTGGCCAATTTTTACATGGAATTGTCCATATCATGTCTATGGGATCGGGGAGAAAGAATCGCAGTGTGTCCGTCTCTCTGTCCTTGACCCTTGACCCTTGTTCCCTGTTCCCTGTCTTGGTGCAGCTGAGAGACCTTGAGATGGTCCATGTACAGAGTACTCGACAAACCAATATCCAGGCATTGCACAGATCCCATATAGATCCATGGACTTGATTGCATTCCACGGTCTAGACAACTCAGTGGCAAACCCGGGATTCAGGATTGATGCTCTGTTCAGACGATATCGTAAGGGATGGGAAAGGAAGGGAGAATTACAGACAGAGGTGTACTCCGTAGATCAGTGACACACTGTATCGTTATTGCAGCTTGAGCTGGGCACTGCGTAGGTATACTTAGTAGACCCATCTCACACATACACCACACAGCAAAGATCAATGCAAAGATCTAGCCTAGACAACCGTTCGGATTAGGGCTGCTTGGATCTGAACATTCTGTGTGAGAATGCAGGCAGTACCAGGGTAAGAGTGTACGAAACCAGAAGAGTCTAAGAGTCATCTAAAAAGAAAGAGAAGAGAATGGGAGAAGAGGATGGGGATCAGGGTAATAGTATCAACCCCGCTTTTGTATCAAAGTAGTTAGGTATCTCCTATTGTTCTCTCCTTTCTAAAGTATTCCAATTCTTCCAATTCTTCTTTCAGTGAGAGAGAGAGAGACAGCCACCTGACGAACATAATTCTGACATATCACATTGTACCACGTTTCGGTGCAGCTGGCAAGGATTTCCTTTTTTCCTTTTTTCTCCTTCTTTTTGGTTTAATTTTCCCATTTCCATCTCGCATTGACCTCTTCACTGCTCTTCGCTGCACCTCTCACCAAAGGCCTTTCCCAATCTCCAAGCACGTGTGTCTCTGACGTGCAGTGTCAGCGAGGGGAAAATCGTGTGACAAACGTTCTGATCCGCTTTTCCTGCCCAATTACTATCTTCTACCGAATTCACAGACTCACGGCTCGGACCGTGTCATTGTACTGATCTCTAGGTACCTAAACTGTCGCCTAAGTGCCTACATGCCTACATACCCTGGGATCTACCACCTGTCACCCTCGTCACCCTCGAACGCTTTGAACAGTCCTCTCTGCTGGTGCGGGGGATATCTCCTTTGATAATCATGATATCAACGTTTGGCCCTGGCGGCTGAAAGCCCGTTTCATTATCATCCACCCCACCTGCTCGATTCCTTTCTTTTTCTTCTGTTTTTCTTTTTTACTTTGGCCAAAGCTTCCTCCCTCTTCCTCATCTTGAAATTTTGCTCTCTATCTTCCCTCTTTCTCCACCCTTCCTCTTGCATTGCAATATCTACCTCCCTTGCTTGGTTTCTAGTGGAGTTTGCAATATGATACAATCCACCATGTCGTGGCAGCCAAAGCTTCGCCCCAAGGGCTTCCCGCATAGCATTGACGACTTCGCGGCTGTGGCTTCGTTGTCGGAACTGGAGCATCGGGCCCGGACTGGCGAGGACAAGCGCGACCAGCGCGTCTTCCGGTGAAGCGTAAGCATGTTTTGAAGGCCTGTGATCGCTGTCGCGTGAAGAAGACCAAGGTATGTGGACTGGTATACCATGGGGATTGCGATCCGACTAACCCATCTTAGTGTGATGGGAAACAACCTTGCAATCGCTGCTCGGTATACAACCACCCTTGTCTCTTCCGTGAAAGAAAGGCCACTCAGACCAAAGTATATTCTCGAGGGTGAGTACATGCACAGAATCTCAAGCCAGGCATATCCTCAAAAGCTCATAGACAAACCACACACAGATTTGTCGAAATGCTCGAATCCCACCATTCACTGGTCGTAAAAGCCCTCCAGAAACTCTACAAACTCTGCATAAACAAAGAAGGCTTCCCAGGCGATCCCCTCGTCGAAGCCCCAGATGGACACCCCTTAACACACGCAATCCTCGACCGTCTAGGGCTGATCAAACAAGCCGAAGAAAACGCGGACGAGCCAGAGGAAGACTCGGAGGATTTGCGCTACCTACGACTGCTATCAACATCCACCGAATGCAGCGTAACAGCAGAGCCCTCACCAGAGCCAGCAACACCCCCAGAGCCCTCGCCAACTCTATCCCGCCCACCATGCTCCATCCCAACACCCATCTCCGTGCCCAGCCGTACCGCCACCACGAGTTGGCAGTGGGATCTCCAGCCCGTCCACCAGACGAGCTACAGTTATGCAGACTCGGGGTACCACGACTTAATGGCGCTGCACCAGCGGTCGTCCATGATTGCGCCAGACATGGGCACTGATATCGCGCCCCATGTTGATTTGCCCTCTGCGCCTTCCGCGCTATCGCATCATCAACATGCGCACCACGAGCCCTCGTTCCCGTACGTCCTGGATGGATGCTGTGATGCCCCCACTCCTCAGCAGGATGTTAAGCCCGCGCTGGCGAGGCTACCGCCTGGCCTTACGGCTGAATCTCATACGAATCCCCATCATCTTGCGGGGAGTCTCCCTACAGACATGATGGGGGATTTCCAATTCCAGGCACATGACTCGGCATTTTATCCTGGGTTCACGCCAGGCTGGAATTTTCCTCAGTGATAAATCTGGCTTGGTATGGTACAATGGACTGTTTCTCTCATCTTTTGGAGATACATGGCCTTTTTTTCCGGGTTGGGTTTTGGCGTAAGCTGTTGAGCAGCTTTCTTTCATTTCATTTCTTATCTATATTTCTTCTTACCATTTTATTTCTTCTTTTCTCGTCCGATTCGTTCTGACTTACATTCTTCTCCGGCTCGCTTTATTTCTCTCTTATTCACTATATACCCCCCACATCTTGAATTGAACCCTTCACCGGAGCACGGAGCATGGCATCTACGCATGATTATAAGATTGGAAGGTGTCTGGCACATTGAACCCTAATCCTTCTTGGGCAGTCGCTTTTTTTTTACCTTTTCTCTTTTACTTCTCGGGTTCAGCCAGGTCTTTCTTCTTTCTTTGGATCGTCACTATTGGTCTTGGATTTGGGCTTTCTTTCCGTTCTGGTATCTAGTTTGAAAGAGTATCGCACTATCAATTTAGGTACGAGTTCTTATACCTTATACCTTTGGTCTTTTTCTTTTCTTCTTAGCGAAGCACTAGTTTTTTGGGTAGACTCTGCTTTATAGAAAGGGTCGGACGATTACTGACAATGAGATATACATGATTTAGCCTTGTACTGTCTTACCTTCAACGAATAGATCCCACAATAGATATACCCTGGCTTGAAAGGTCAGTCATACTTCCCAGTAATGGTCATATTCCAACAATATCAACGACGACAGCCAGTGGCCAGCAAGTCCTAGTGGAATGAAAATGTACTTGTATTCCGTACACGATACATCCCCTCCAGCTGACCTACAACCCCAACCCAACCCCAGTAGAAGATAACACAAGAAGACCCGAAAATCGCCTCACACCAGATCTAGATCTCGCACCAGGTCATACAGTAGTACAATACATGCACGACCTGACACAGATGCACCCAGCATCAACCCAGAAAAGAAAGGCAGCCGCGACAGATGTCTAAAAGGGTTAGGGATGCGCAGATCAAACCAGATCAGATCGTAGATCGTAGCAAGTGCGTGTGTCGTCTTGCCTGTTCTGACAGGGACTGTGGACTGTGCGTGGGGGTGGGTTGTCTGTGGGACTTGAGGACATGCGCTTGGTTGGGGGTTGCTGGGGTTGTTTGTGTACCCTGGTATATACATGTACTTTTGTGGATGTACTGGGATCTATGTAGATGTAGATGTAGATACATATATCAATCTAGCGTTGTATAAGTGTAGATAGAGATGTGGTGTGATATAGGACAGGGAATGACATAGGACATTGCATATAAAATACTACCAAGTTGAATGCTGTATCATGATATCTCCCCGTTGTTCTGGAAATATATTGTATCTATGAACGGCGAACCTGTCAATTGCCTTTTCAAACTAGTTTTGCCTTTGCGTTTGGCTGCCAGCTTTTATATTTCCCTATCTTGAATTGGATCGTCGACGCCCACTTCTGAAACGAGTTAGAATCATGCGCCCTTTCCAGCATATCAGAAAAATACTCCAGATCCTCCACGATGCTTACGTCCACGAGTGCGGCCCCCGTCTCAGCTCCCAATCTCGCGTATAAACAAAGAAAGTCCTGTCCAGGATCTTTATGTAGGCATCAGCCGGAAGAACTAATATCCCAACAAATGGGAATCCGGGTCTCTATCGTCCAATGTTATCCCTGTAGGTACTTTTGTCCACCCATTACCTTGTACTCAATCAACTTCTCAAATCTCCTATCTCTCCCCTTATGTTCTTGCGCCATAGTCAATCTGCTCAGGAAGCACTATGCTCCATTCCGAGGCCACCTCCAGCCCACTTACCAATATCTCTGGTATTCCAGACGGACCGGGATTGGAACAAAACTCGGAAGTCGAGGGCGCGGAGAAAGTGACTGAGACCAGGGATACACACTCCCCAACAGAGCAAAATGAGCAGGATGATGCTGAATCAACGACCAAAAAGCCAAAGTCTCTTTCCTTCAAGCTCGCGTTCATAGGGCTCGCAGCGAGTCTTTTCGTGTTCCAGCTGGATGCGACATGCCTAAGCATTGCCCTTCCAGTGAGCCATCGCGTCTATTCCCATCCGCGTACTATCCCAATACTCATCCCTATAACTAGACCATTGCTGGTGAGCTAAATGCCTCGAGTCTAGAGTCATTCTGGGCAAATCTGGCCTATACTCTTTGTGGTCTAGTAATGCAACCCGTTTGGGCCAGCATCTCCAACGAGTTCGGTCGCAAACCCCCTCTTTATATATCCATTGGATTATTCTTCATCGGCTCCATCGTTTTTGCTACGGCGCAAAATATGGGCACCATAATTGTTGGACGAGTCCTCCAGGGTCTCGGTGGTGGAGGAATCGACGTGTTGGTGCAGGTGATCCTCGCAGATATGACAACACTAGAGGAACGCTCGACATATCTAGGCTTAATGGCCATTCCGTCGGCCGTGGGTAATATCATGGGTCCTACCGTTGGGGCGCTATTTTCCACGTACGCCTCCTGGAGGTGGATCGGATGGATTAACCTCCCATGGCTCGGAATTGGGACACCTTTGGTTGTCATCTTCCTCAAACTTCGGCCTATTCCGCTCGATTCCACGCTTGTTGGAAATTTAAAGCGCCTCGACTGGATTGGAATGGCGCTCCTTATCATCGGAATCTCGATTTTGGTTATTCCGATGAGTTGGGCGGGCTCCTTATATCCATGGCCCTCCTGGCAGACTCTCCTTCCAATGTTCTTGGGAGTGGCGGCGCTCGTCGCTTTTGGCTTCTACGAGGGAAAGCCTGCCGATCCTATCGTTCCTCATCGTATTTTCCACTCGAAGACCGGAAACGTGACTTTACTAGGAGGCTTCCTCCACGGCGCGGTGCTAGTCTCCCTCTTACAATACTTGCCCTTACTCTACCAAGCTGTAGAGCTCCAAAACGCAATATTATCCGCCGTATACCTATTGCCTACCTCGATTATCAGCGTCTTAGTGGCAGCCGTTTCAATGATGCTAGTACCATTGTTCGGAGGTTATGTGTGGCTTTTACGACTTTCGTGGGTCATCCTTACGCTAGGATCCGGCTTGCTAGCCCTCTTCGAAGTAGGGTCTTCAGCATCTATGTGTTACGGGCTTCCTATTCTCTGGGGTCAGGGAGTTGCGCTATTACGCCTTAACATTCTTCCGATGCAAGCGAGCGTTAAGAATGTTGATGACACAGGCTTAGCTATTGGGCAGTTTCTAACTATTCGCATGTTTGGTGGTCTTGTCGGCCTCACTATCTCTTCGTCAATTTTCAACAATGTTTTCTCGAGGGCTATCACTGATACTACACTTCAGCTGACGGGAGCCTTGGCGCCTCTGAAAGATGCCTCCAATGCTGTGAGCTTCATTGACTCTTTGGGATCCCTACATGTTCCTATATCAACGCTGGGCCAGGTATTAGGCATCTATCTGAAGTGCTTCCGCACGATATTCTATGTGATGACCGGCCTGAGTGCACTGGGTTTGGTGAGTTCAATCTTCCTGGATGAGATAAACCTCAAGGGCCGGTGACTTGGGAACCAACGCTTCGAGGACTAGTCCGAGTTGGATTGTTCAATTCTATAAATTCTTATGTATCCATACCGTGTCTCTTTAATGTATAAACCGTTGACTTCCATCAAGCCGATAAATTTCCAAAACATTCCGATATATCTCCTCATCGAATGCAGTCCCTTACACTAGGGAGTACACATCCATGGATCTTGCCCTGATACACTACATCCCACCGGTGAGGATGATTATAATCTGAGGCCACATCCTATATAAACCGACGTGATATCCTACGTATGTGCTACACAATATTGGTGACTCTCGGGGATGTATAAGGGAAAGCCTCAGGGAACAGAAATCAGAGAAACACCACTACAAGAAAATCGTAATCTTGAAAAGGAGACTAGTCTGTCATTCTTAACGCACCTTAATCATGGTTCTGGTGCCTATTTTGACACCATACCTTTCTTTTCACCTTACCCCGGCGAAATACACTCCCTTTAGTCGACTAGAAAGCTCATCGAACAGGGAGGGGCAGAGATACAGGTGCATTATCGTGCATTCATGTTCAACCCTCGCGTGTTGACTGTTGACGCAGCGATCACTGTCCACTGTCATGACCGCAGTATACAGGCAATATCCCTGGGGTATCTGCCTCACGAGTTCTCACGAGGTCTCCTCTTCCAGGATTGGTACGGTCAATTTCAAAAGAGGGTACATTTTTCTCGCCTTCTGCGCTTGCTGGGGAATTTCTCGGAAGAGAAAACTGAGAGAGGAGGGTGTTATACGCCCGGGAGGTCGCGCCTTCCCAATCCATGCATCCATATGCATACCCCGGCAGCAGCGATAGGCCACAACCTCCGAAAGATTGACTTTGAACCAGATCGTACATATTGAATCGGAAATAACCAAGGTAATGCTCGTTAAAGTTGTGTCCTACTAGTCGCCACCCATTCTGAATTGCTGCATATGACTTCGTATTGGAATTGCTTGGAATTGCCACGACTCGCAAGAGTGTCGATCTCTCAGGGAAGAATGAGAATCCGAACGAATATTATTGAGACATTGAATTGGTATGTTTTAGAAAAAGGAAAAAGAATATTGATTATATTGTACGGAGTACTCCGTACATGGAGAGAGATCGCATCATGATTGCACAATTGGCATAGTGATCTAACCCCTTTCAAGGGAAGTCTCTCTTGGCACTCATTTTCGGAATACGAGAGCGATTGTTTATGATATCACATTGCATGCGAACAGACCCTGGGCACACACGACTTTTATGATCAGCCCTATATCGATCTGCTTCCTGTATGGATGCCCATAACCGGAGAACTCTATATTCACATTCGTCTTGGGAAATTTAGATTTCCATAATGGAAGCTCCAATTTTTGACTGCCTTTTTCTTCTTGTAAAAATTGATCTATTCTTTTAGTTGTAGGATTGTGGGGGAGCCTCGGTTGACCCTAGTAAATTAGGCCAAATAGGACGGATATCAAAGTCCATACGGAGTAGAGGAGATAAAGGCCGACAACGGATTATTGTCCCCCGGCTTCTTCCTCCTGCCAAGGGATTTGGCGCTAACTCTTGGCGCCAAGGGTTGATCCTGGTTCGCAGAGATTTTGCCACTTCAATGAAAAGTCCTTTAGTGTCTAATCGACAATTAGATTAATGAAATATCAATATTTTAATTGAGGAAAAAGACTCACTGCACTCTGATGGACAAAGCCTGTAAAGGTGGGCGGAAGGGTGGAAGATTCCGCAACCGCAACATCCTGGAACTTGGCAATTTTGCCTTGCCAGATCTTGGCGGTTCCGCGTTTGCAGATACGATCCTGTATGCAGTAATTGCTGGCATTCTAGGCCCCGTATAATACCGCTTAGAGGAACCCCACTACTATCCGATGCCTATCAAGCACGAGGTGGACGGCTAAAGTCTTGGCGCCAATACCAACCATTGCTTCTCTTCCAATGAATCGTGCAACGTGCGTCGCTACCCCGGGGAACAAACTTTAGAAGTCAAAGGCCAAGGCTCTTGGGATATCTCCACACACTGTTTTTCTCACGCGAGCAGACTCTGATCTGAGCATTCGCTCGGAAACTAAAGTACCACGTCCCTCCCCACTCCGAGAGTTACACTTCTGTCCAACTATCCGGTGATTGACCCCAAAACAAAGGAGTCAGACGGGCAAACAGCTCGGTAGTCATCACCGATATCTACTCACCCGAGAGTAATCTCCAATGCCAGACGAGAAGCACGACGTGCCCCCCGTCGCTGGGTCGGGCGCCAGCCCACTGAGCCAGCCAGCTCACACCCTCCCTTATGAAGTCGTCATCAAGGAACTCGGCACCGGGCTGGACGAAGGTCTATCCCCCGAGGAAGCGAGTCGTCGTCTACAGGAGTATGGACCCAACAAACTGGATGAAGGCGAAGGCGTTTCGGTGATCAAGATCCTCGTGCGCCAGGTTGCCAACGCAATGATGCTAGTAAGACCCCCTCTATCGGTTTTCCGCGTTGATATCGCGAAAGTCTCTCAGGCTCAATCTAATACAGTGGGTGATAGGTGTTGATTCTGGCCATGGCGGTCAGCTTCGGAATTCGGTCGTGGATTGAGGGCGGAGTCATCTGCGCTGTCATTGTCTTGAATATCGTCGTTGGATTCTTCCAGGAATACGCCGCCGAGAAAACTATGGAGTCATTGCATTCGCTCTCGTCCCCGACCGGAACTGTCTCGAGAGGTGGACAGACATTTTCCGTGCCGTCGTCGGACATCGTTCCCGGTGACATGGTCGAGCTTAGGACGGGAGATACCGTCCCAGCTGATATTCGGTGAGTTTCCTATCATATTGCAACTGCGATTTCGAAGCCACTTTTGAGGCAGTTCGACAATTTGCTGACGCATATCAGCCTGGTTGAAGCAGTCAACTTCGAAACCGACGAGGCTCTCCTGACTGGCGAGTCTCTTCCCGTCCAGAAGGAATGCGACTCGACGTTCAAAGAGGATACTGGCCCCGGAGACCGCCTTAACATCGCCTACAGTTCTAGCACCGTCACTCGTGGTCGTGCCCGAGGTGTCGTCGCTAGTACAGGCATGTTCACTGAAATCGGATCTATTGCCCTCGCCCTACGGGCCAGCGGCAACAAGCGTCGTCCGGTTAAGCGTGGTCCCAACGGCGAAACCAAGAAGCGTTGGTACGTTCAGGCCTGGAGTCTTACCTCGGTGGACGTCGTCGGTCGATTCCTCGGTGTCAATATCGGAACGCCCTTGCAGAGGAAGCTGTCAAAGCTGGCCTGTCTACTATTCGGAATTGCCGTCGTGTTTGCCATTGTCTGTATGGCTGCAAACGAATTCAGCAGTAACACCGAAGTCATCATGTACGCTGTTGCAACCGGTATCAGTATGATTCCGGCGTGCCTTGTCGTCGTTCTTACTATCACTATGGCAGTGGGTACTAAACGCATGGTCGAGCGGAACGTAATTGTTCGCAAATTGGACTCGCTAGAGGCGCTCGGTGCCGTCACAGATATTTGTTCCGACAAGACCGGTACATTGACTCAGGGTAAAATGGTTGTCCAAAAGGCATGGATCCCGTCACGCGGAACGTACTCCGTCGGCCCATCTAACGAGCCTTTCAATCCTACCGTTGGAGATGTCAGCTTCAGCGCTGTGCCTCCTTCGGAATTTGATCATGAGAAGCCAGGTATGGCGGAGAACGCAGAAGGCATGGTCTCAGGAAACCGCCAGCTCGAAGACTTCCTAGACGTTGCCTCGATGGCCAATCTCTCTCACGTGTATAAGTCCGAAGAAGGTGAATGGAATGCACGGGGTGAACCCACAGAAATTGCTATCCATGTCTTTGCATCGAGATTTAATTGGAACCGCGACCGCTGGATCAAGAAGGGTCAGGGTGAGGGTACAGTGTGGCACCAAATGGCTGAATTCCCATTCGACTCGACTGTTAAGAAGATGTCTGTTATTTTCAACAAAATCACCCCAGAGGAGAACCGGACAATGGTGTTCACCAAGGGTGCAGTCGAGCGCATCGCAGACTCGTGTACCTCTATTATCTGGGACCAAGATTCCTCTACCCCGTGCCAATGACCGACCACCACCGCGAAAAGATCATCGAGAATATGGAGGAGCTCGCCAAACTCGGACTTCGCGTTTTGGCTCTAGCTCATCGCCCGTACACTGCCCAGACACAACTGCTCGAAGATGCTGACCTGAACCGTGAAGACGTGGAGAAAGATCTGTGCTTCCTGGGACTTATCGGCTTGTATGATCCTCCGCGCCCCGAGACAGCTGGCTCAATCCAGGCCTGCTACCAGGCTGGTATCGTCGTCCACATGGTCACCGGTGACCACCCTGGCACTGCCAAAGCAATTGCTCAGCAAGTGGGAATCCTTCCTGCCGATTTCAATGCAGTGGCAGCTGATGTCGCGGACGCTATGGTTATGACTGCTAGTCAATTCGATAAACTCACCGATGAAGAGGTAGATGCGCTTCCAACTCTGCCTTTGGTCATTGCACGCTGCGCCCCGCAGACTAAGGTTCGTATGATTGACGCTCTTCACCGCCGTGGCCGCTTTGCAGCTATGACTGGAGACGGAGTGAATGATTCTCCTTCCCTTAAGCACGCCGATGTTGGTATCGCTATGGGACAGGCTGGTTCAGATGTGGCTAAAGACGCATCTGATATCATCCTCACGGATGACAACTTCGCCTCGATTCTGAATGCCGTCGAAGAAGGTCGTCGTATCTTTGATAATATTCAAAAATTCGTGCTTCACCTCTTGTCAGAGAACATCGCTCAGGCCTGCACCTTGCTTATCGGATTAGCTTTCAAAGACGCTGACAATCAATCCGTCTTCCCTCTGTCACCGGTCGAAATTCTCTGGATCATTATGATTACATCTGGTATGCCCGACATGGGTCTCGGAATGGAGGTGGCCGCCCCTGATATCATGAACCGTCCTCCCCAGAGTAAGCAAGGAATCTTCACCTGGGAAGTTATCGTC